CTCAGGGGAGAGAAGCTCCTGGCCTTGTCTGAGACCCACGCCCAGGACCCCGAGGGGCTGTTCCACGTGGAGGCCGCCCTGGTGGTGAGAGACAGCTCTGCGGGGAACGTGACCTGCTCCATCCTCAACCCGGTCCTGGGCCAGGAGAGGACCACGGCCATCTTCATCCCAGGTCAGCGTGGCTCTGTTTCCAGCAGGACAGGGGAGGGCCGGCCGCCCTGAGTGTGCGGGGCCGTCCTGGAGCGCCCCTGACCTGCTCCCCACCCTCGGGCTGCAGAGCCCTTCTTCCCTCAGGCCTCTCCCTGGAAACCAGCTTTTGTCGTGAGCCTGACTGTGCTGGGGCTCCTGCTCTGTGGGCCTGGCTGTTTCCTGAAGAGAGAACATTCTGCAAAGTTGCAGGAGCAGCAGGAACGGGAGAAGCTGCGGTCGGAAAAGGAGGAGGCCTAGAAAGTAAAGCAGAAGGCGTTGAAGGCCTGTGGTAAGGCAGGAGGCCGGCTGGGGCAAATGTCTCAGCTGGTGCTGAGAGGGACAAGACATTGGGATGGGCGTCCTGGGTCCAGAACTCCCCCAGCTCAGAGCAGAGAGATGAGGAAATCCCTGAGGACAAGTGGGAGTGGAGCTAGAAATTCTTGTAGGACACAGCAAAGCTTTGTTGGGAGCTCTCCAGGCACTGTCTTTGCTTTTCTTAGGGATGGAAGTTCATCTTTCTTTCTTCCTTTCTTTTTCTTTCTTTTTTTTTTTTTTTTTTTTTTTTTTTTTGAGGGTTACTGCTCTGTTTTTTGTTTGTTTGTTTGTTTTCCATAAGGTTTATGTGGTCATGGAAGAGGGACAGAGAGAGAGAGAGACACACACACACATATAAACACACACAGACAGATAAGAACAGAGAGAAATCACCCCCAGGGGTGATAAACACACTGCAATTCCTTCTGCATTCTCCTTTGGAAATGTGGGCATGCATATACATGTGCCTGGTGTATTTCTCAAGCTGCCAGGTCCGGGACTGAAACCGCTCAGTTGGCCATGTGGGATCCAGCGATCTTACCCTCTACACCTGGACCGGAAGTTCGCATTTCCTTTTCCCTCTCTTTCAGGTGAACTCCAGGCCGCCCTCAGTAAGTCCTGCGTCCCCCCCTCCCTCCCCGTGTCCCCTTCTCAGCAGACGTTCTGATCCCAGCTCACCTTGTCCTGTGTGTTCCTTTCAGGGGAGAGGAAAGCAGCTTACCTGGCTGGTGAGTGACCCTCCAGGTGTCCTCGTTTCTCACCCACCTGTGCCCAGGTCCCCTGTCCTTGTTTCTGTCTGGGCTCAGCCGTGTGGTCCCCTGTCCCTCCACCCTGGGAGCAGAAGTGGAAGCTGGTGGGGGGAGACCCTGCTCCATGGCTCTCCACATCTGGGCCGCTGCTCCTGCTTGGGGACCTGGGGGTGATGGTGACCCCTGATCTATTGTACACCCCGGGCCTCCTCACCTCCACCTGAGCTATTCACAAATTTAGAGTTTTCCAGCCTTTAGTGCATCCCATTTCCAGTCTGCACCCAGACGCTAAAAGCCAGATGCTGTGGTATTTTGTAAAGTTATATAAGTAAATGGATCATCAAATTCAGTAGTGTGACCCCTCACCTCTTCTCCCCCAAAAACACCATCCAGGGAGAGTCATTCCTCTTCCAGCTCCTGAAGGTGCTAATTAAAACGTGACAGGGAGAGGACTGGATGCTGGCTGGGGTGGAGTGTGAGGGGCTGACCTGATGCTCCCTGGAATAGTGAGGCTCCGCTCTAGGGCAGCTTGGAGAGAGCGGCCGCTTTACCCCAGAGCCTGCTTTACACAATGTAAATTATTCTCCCTTTTGAGTTTTTTTTCCAAATAGTTTTGCCAGGTAAAGACTGGTTGTAATAATGCTTTCTTCCATTTATGAAGAACTCGTAAGAGTTTGGGGAATATAATTTATGTTTTATTCCCTATTTTCACACATAGTTTAATGTTTGATTCTTAGCAGAAAATCAAAATGTAGATAGAATAGAATTGTTTAGGTTTTTGAGGCCCAGAGCAGCCAAGTGACTTGCCAAGAGTCACACACCAGCAGGACAGTGTGGAGCTGTCTGTGATGTGGGCGTCCTGAGCTGTGTCCAGAGAGGTTCCCACCACCCCCTTTTCCTGCACATTGCAGGGACCCCTCCTCTCCAGCCTCCCTCCTCACACAGATAGTCTCACCTTCAAACAACGGGGAACGAGGGCCGGTACATTCACTCTGTGGGGCTTGTCCTGGCCGAGGTCTCACCAGCTGTGTTCCCTTTCAGCCTGGAGGAAGGCCCGGCTGTACGGGGGTAAGTGACCGAGTCTCCTCTGGCCTTCCCTACCCGCCGTGGCCCTGCTCTTCTCCCTCAGGGTCTCTGCACTAGGATGGCTCAGGTCCTCGCTGTCCTCCGTCAGAGACTGCAGGGAGCACAGCTCTGCCTCTGCTCGGGGCTCTTCCT